TAGAGAACCAACTCATTATTTTGAAAACTGGTAAATAAAGGCTAAGAAGCAAGCATTTGTCCTGCTTTTCTTTAAGTCATCAAGTATTTGATGAGACTATTCTTCATTGAATCTCAGCTAATAAATGAAGATAGTAAGTTAAAATCATAATATCACCATTCTGCAGGTCCTACTGAAATAATGCATCTATGTAATAATTATCAGTGACTATACTATCAAGTTAGAAAGGTGGCAACATTCGAACCTATTAGTCCATTTTAACAAAATAAAAATACAATCAGCCAGATGTATGTGTCAGCTGATCAGCTGCAATAGAAAGTATCCAATACCGGGGTAGGCGCTGTGGCATAGTGGGTAAATCTGCCACCTGCAGTGTTGGCATACCTTATGGGTGGCAGTTCAAGTGCTAGCTGCTCCACTTCTGATCCAGCTCTCTGTTATGGCCTGGGAAAGCAGTAGAAGATGACCCAAGTCCTTGGGCCCCTGCACTCACATGGGAGACCCGGAAGAAGCTCCTGGCTCCCAGCTTTGGATCAGCCCAGCTCTGGCCGTTGTGGCCATCTGGGGAATGAACCAGTGATGGAAGATCTCTCTCTCTCTCTCTCTCTCTCTGCCTCTCTTTCTCTCTCTGTGTAACTCTGACTTTCAAATAAATAAATCTTTAAGAAAAAAAATAAATTAGAAGACTGGAGTGGGCATTTCACCTAGCAGTTAAGAAGCCCACATTCTACACTGGAGTACCTGGGTTTGAATGTCATGGCAGCAGTGGTAGCTGAAGTTATTGAGCTCTTGCCACTCATATGGAGACTTGGATTGAGTTCCTGGCTCCTAGCTTTTGCTTCTTGCTGAGTGTTGTTGTGGGCATTTGGGGAGTGAACCAGTGGATAGGAGTCTTCTGTTTTCTCTTTCTCTTCTTATTAAATAGTAATAATAAAAAAAGGAAATTACCACTAATATTTGTGAGTGTATTAATGATGTTCCTATCTTTAAAATCTTTTCAATATTTCTTTTAAAAATTATTTATTTTCATTTTATTTGAAAGGGGGAGAGAGAGAGAGAGAGAGAGCGAGCAAGCGAGTGAGCCTGGGCTGGGCCAGGCTGAAGCCAGGAGTCCAGAACTACACAATAGTCTCCCACAAGTACTTGAACCATCACCTGCTGCCTCACAGGGTGTGCATTAGTACAGGGTGTGCATGGGAGGTGCTACTTGAACCCAGGCACTCTGATATTGGATGTGGGTGTCCCAAGCAGCATCTTAAGCATTATGCCAAATGCCCACCCCAGGAAGGAAATTCTGATACATACTACAGTATGGTGTTGTGTTAAGGGAAATAAGCCAGACAGATTCCACTTGCCTGAGGTACCTAGAGCAGGCAAATTCACAAAGAAAGTAGAATATCGGTTTCCAGGGGCTGGTGTGGAGGTGGGGAGGAGGAGAATGCAGAGTTAGTGTTTAATGGAAATAGTTTTAGTTTGAGATGATGAAAATGTTCTGGAGACGGGTGATGGTGATGTTTGCACAGCAGTGTGAATGCACTTAATAGCCACTTAACTGTACCCTTAAACATGTTTAAAATGATAAATTTTATGTATCTGTATTTTACCACAATAGAAAAATTATTGGATCAGTGTGGCAAAATGTGAACAATGTGTGAAGCTAGGTGGAGGGTTTATGAGATCATTATCATAGTTTTTGCAACTTTTCTGTTGCTCTGAAATCTTTTCAAAATAACAAGCTGATTTAATTGACAGGAGGAAGTTCTGTAGAGATCAGATGGACACCAGTTGGGTGGGATTGCTCCCGCTGCAGGGGTCACAGGCGTCCACAGGTGCGTCCGCCTAGAGCTTTAGCGGGTCACCACATCACAGGCAACTACTGAACACCTTAGGCAATTTTGCTTTCACATTTATCGTATCTTTGTTAAGTCCTTCATAAGGATGTGGAGTTGACAACTTTTCTGTTTTAGTCACAATATCCCCCTTTCTTTTTATTTTTTTAAAGATTTATTTATTTATTTATTTATTTGAAAGGCAGAGTTAAAGAGAGAGAGGGAGAGAGAGAGAAAGAGATCTTTCACTCACTGGTCCATCTCCAAATAGCTGCAATGACCAGGACTGGGCCATGCCAAAGGCAGGAGGCCTGGTACACCATCTGGAACTCCCGTGTGGGTTGTGGGGGCCCAAGCACTCGGGCCATCTTCTGTTGCTTTCCCAGGTGCATTAGCAGGGAGCTGGATCAGAAATGGAGCAGACAGGACTTGAACTGGATACCACATGGGATTGCAGGTGGTGACTCAAACAGCTATACCACTCGCCCTATTTTTGCTGGAGACCCTCCCTTGCAGCCTTGGATGTTATCTCCTTGAATTTTTTTCTTTCTGTTGCTCCTTTTGTTTTTGCTTGAAAGCTTTCTCTTCCTCATCTATCTCCTTGGTCTGCTTCTTGTGCTGTTTCAGGGACCTCTTGCCACAATGTGGCTGGACATGGTGCTCTCTCTCCTTTCCCTAGACCTTGCCACTGGAAACAGACACATTATCTTAACTATGGTGAATTTCAGAACCAATAGGAATACCCACATTCAGGATTTCAATAGAAATACATTCTAAAATGAAAAAGAAAAAAAAAAAACCTTTTAGGGCTGGTGCTGTAGTGCAGTGGGTTAAACCGCTGCTTGCAGCTCCAGCATGCCATATGGGCACCAGTTCAAGTCCCAAGTCCCAGCTGCTCTACTTCCAATCTAGCTCCCTGTAATGCACCTGGGAAAACAGTGGAAGATGGCTCAAGTGCTTGGGCCCCTGCACCCACGTGAGAGACCAGGAAGAAACTCTTGCCACCTAGTTTCAGATAGGCCCGGCTCCAGCTATCAAGGCCATTTGGGGAGTGAACCAGCAGATGGAAGATCTCTATCTGCCTCAACCCTCTTTCTATAACTCTTCCAAATAAATGGAAAAAAAAAAAAAAAGAAAAAGCTTTTAAACAATTTTTTTGCAGTTTACCATTGCCTTTTTTCCATCGAGTCCACATTAAACCTCAGCAGCGTTCAAACTTTGACTCTTTCTTATTAGCTGAATCTTTGTGCAGATTGTTTCATCTCTCTACGCCTTAGTTTGTTCCTCTGAGGCCTCACAGACTTAGAAGGCTATACGATGAGTCAATGAATATAAAACCGCACGGTACCTACCGCATGATTAAAATGTAATACACCTCATTAGTTTTATCATTGCTATATGCCTGAATATGATTATATAGGTCCAAGAGCAACAGAAGGCAGCATTGGGGTCAGAATCAACTAGATTATAAGGCAGCACATAATATGTTAATATTCCTTCTTAAAAGTGGTATAGAATTATTTTCCTATCCTTGAATTCAGTACTTGTTAGATCCTCAGTTAGGATTCTTTACCACTGAAATCCAAAACTGAGTTTCTAGAGAAAAATCATGAATAAATTTAAGGGTTGCTGAATAGTAGGGAGGAGTAAACTGGCTGGGGTTCATTTGTTCAGAGAAAAGTTTATGAGCAGACTTCAGAGAAAGACAAATGGAGTAACATTTTGTGAAGTAGTAATTAAGTAGTACTTTGTTGTTTGATCAATTGAAATTTGTTCTGGAATTATAGGACCAAAAGAAATAATCCCAAGTTAATGAGAACTTATCTAGGTTTTAAAGATATCAGTTAAAAACAATAGGAGAGGAAATGGCTTTAAGCTGTAAAATAAAGGATTTAGATTAAATGATTAGAAGAAAAATTTCTGACAATGAGGTGTGTTAAAACTTTTAAAGCAGATTAACATAGGGTCCTCCAGGATTTTCTTCTCTGACATTTTCGAGGTAAATTAGATATCTCTGTGAGGTGGCTTAGACCAAGATATACCTGTGATAGGTAGATGTACTGATAGTCCTTTTGGTCCTATGCAGTCTAGCAGTCAGTAAAAGTCATAGGCTCACCTCACCCCAATCAGTCACAGCCTCAGTGGGTGACCTTTCTGCCATATTTTCTGATCTTTCCGTATGATTTAATGATTATTTTAATCATCACACTGCCTAACAAGGAATTTACAATGTTTCTTCCCAGTTGTTTTATTTAGTAATGGAAATGGCTCATGTTCATTGATTTATTTTTAGTCATGTTTATTTAGGTTTAATTCGCCCTTTTTAGTTTTAGGAGTTTTGACAAACATACAATTATGTGTCAAGTAGTCAAGAAGACCTGTTTATGTTTTCCTTGGAGAGGTAGAAATTTGACAGCAGCTTGGAGAAGAAGAGCAAAACAACAGTGACTTTGGAGGGATTTTTCTGGGACTCAAGGTCACAATTTGCCCACAACAGGCCTGGGTGTGTCCTCTGGAACTGAGTTCACGTTGTGTCCCCAGTGTCGTCAACATTGATCTGACCTCATCCTTTTGGGATTACATTTATTTGGTCACTGCGGTTCTGTAGCATTAGCAGTGAAGAAAGAGAAGAATCAATTAGAAACAATTTTAAGATTAAGAAGTGAGATGTGTCTCTGTGTGGTTTATTTCATTTTTGCTCTGCTAATAAAGCCTTCTAGGGACCCTAATTATATTCTAGCTATGACAGTAATAGATTCTAGGTTTTTCAGAACAATTTCATTTCAGAGTCAGTCGTTTTGTTCCTTTAAGTAACACATCTTCAGAAAACATGCTTTAACTTTTGGTTAGAAAAATATGATCACTGTGATTTATAGCAGCAGAGAAAATTAGTTGGTTGGAAGTGTCACTTCAGTGTAGCCTATTTCAAGTGCTTTATGGGGGCATTTACAGAAATGGAGAATTACAGTTGGGCTGTGCCTACGTAATTTTTAGCCTGAGGTAAAGGGAGAAAACTTCCTCCTATTGAATGCCTACTATGTTATATGCTTGGCATTTTGCTAGGTGGTTTCCCTGACAGCTGCTCTAGCTAGAATTCTGTTACAGATTGAGCTTCCAGTTAAGTAAAAAACAAAACAAAAAACCACAAACAACAACAAAAACCCAAACATGTATGCTTCACGGGCATAGTTCATTAATACTTGTCCCAGCTGCTATACTTTCTACAAGACCCTGGCATCACAATGAGGATAATTGAATCCCAGGGCTTTGAGGTCATCAAGTTAGAAGGGGTGGCAGCTGTTCTTTCCACGGCAGAGTTGGAGAAGCACAGTGCTCCGTTCTCTCCATGGGAGGTGCAAAGAACGTGTCTGGAGCTGTCGTCTCCACAGGCTTCAATTCCCTAAAAGACAAGGGCAACGATAAACAAACGTGAAGCTTGCAATACGTTCAAGAGTGGGAAAGGGCAGGGGAAGGAATATGGCTTACTGGGGCCCTTAGACAATGTGGGGGTGGGGGAGGGGGGAGAAGAAGAACGGACGAACCAGCAGGGTTGTAAGGTGAGGCCCCTGAATTCAGGTGGAGATTCACAAGAGGAATCCTGATTGACACAGGCTACTCCCTAAGAGTCTTCTCGTCCTCCTCCGTGTCACCGGCTCTGAAGTACTAGGCACCCTCACTCGGGTTCGGCTGTGCCCTTTTATTAGAAAGCCGGGAAACTCTCCTTTTCCACAGAAGAGGCTCGAAGGTGTCTGAACGATAGAAAGCAGGTAGAGATTCTCAAATGTCTGAGCTGTGGCAAATACAATCGTCTTGGAGGGAGGGGAATATTTTTCACGCCCTCTCAAGGTCCCTTCGGTTCAAGGATACTGTCATTCTCCGGCTGCACTAGGGGGAGGGCCTGCACCGTCCATGCTGCCATGGAAACGCGCCGCCGTGTTCCTTTTTCTTACGTGGGGCGGGGCACTCCGTCTCAGCCACCTATCATCCGCAGGATTCCCTGAGTGGCGGCCAGCAGCAGCGAATGGGCGGTCCGACACTGCGTGACGCGACGGGAAAAGGGGGAGTTCGCGGCCGGTGGCGGCGGTGGAGACAGCGGCGACCTGGGGATCGAGCTGGAGGGACCTGGGGAGCGTGCAGAGACCTCTAGCTCGAGCGCAGGGGATCTCCCGCCGGGATGCCTGGTATTGCTTGGAGAAAAATGGGGTCGCAGTTGGCTCTGCAGGCTCGGGTTTCGGGTCTGAGGGGATGGCTGACCGGAGGGGGCGGGGTGGCAAGCATGGCGGCGGTGACGGGGAAGGGGCTGGAGGGCCCTGAGGAGGGGGTGGGGAAGCAGTAGCGAGGAAGGCCCGGTGGTCGTGAGGAAGCGTGAAGGGCGGTGGGCGTTCTGGCGAGCAGAGATTACAAAGCAGCTTTTTGTAGGTAGTAGAGGCGCCAGGAGGACGTGGGGAGAGTTGTGGGGGGATGGAAAAAGGGGCGGGGAGAGGAGAGGTTAGGAAGGAGGCGTAAGGGTGTCTACGGGAAGGTGATGAAAGAGCGAGCGAGGGGACAGGTGGGCTTATTGTAAATAACCAGGAAGCGGCGGTTTGGGGGGAAGACAGGAGAATGCTCGCAGCGATTAGACCTGCCCTGGTACCCTTTTCCAGCTCCTGTACTTCCGCCCCATTATTAGGCTCAGACTGCGTGAGGAAGGCGAGTGGGTTACACAGAACTGATCTTTTGTTATTCCATTCCAGGGGAGCAGATGGACCCTACTGGAAGTCAGTTGGATTCAGATTTCTCTCAGCAAGATACTCCTTGCCTGATAATTGAAGATTCTCAGCCCGAAAGCCAGGTTCTAGAAGATGATTCTGGTTCTCACTTCAGTATGCTGTCTAGACACCTTCCTAACCTACAGACGCACAAAGAGAACCCAGTGTTGGTGAGTGGTACCTTGTTTGAAAATGAGCAGTTTGTTTGTTTTCTAGTGTAGAACAGCAAATGCATTTTCAGTGTCACTATCTTTTGGATCAAATTAGTTAGAAAAATGAAATCAATCATACTTTTTGCAAAAAAAGTTTGCCGTATTATTATGGAGTATTTAATATGTGGTGAGCATACTGTGTACCTGTATTTTCTAGGATGTAGTATCCAATCCTGAACAGACAGCTGGAGAAGAGCCAAGAGACACTAACAGTGGGTTCACTGGACATGTGAAGGAAAACAAGGCTGCAGGTGAGGTGATAAAGCTGTAAGTCCCCTTTGAGTGTTTAGGCACTGTTGTTTGAGCTGGGTGGATTTAAACATGTGGTTGTTGTGAACGCATGTAAGGAAATCTAGTAAGGAGGTGCATCTGGTCATTCTAGTAACTCAAAAATTAATGTTGTAATATAGTTGGTTGGGTTGGTAATATCTTTATTCCTGAATTTTTATTAAGTTTGGTAGTAAATGCCTTTGGGTTTTTTTTTTTTTTTTTCTAGATTCTACAGATTCTCCTCATTTGGACACATGTGGTTCCATCAGTCAGGTCATTGAGCAGTTACCTCAGCCCAACAGGACAAGCAGGTATACTAATGTTTTAAGGAATTTAAATTTATTAAGGGATCAGTTTTCTTACGTGTACCTGCTGCCTTAACCCAAGGGATTAATCTTCTTTTTGTGGATTAGGGAATGAGTCTTGAGGATGGTATTAGATAGTATTATATTAGTATTAGAAACTGTTTTGTGAGAGTGATGTCATTGTTTTATAATTACATTATTAAACTCTGGTCTATATTATGCAAGTGAAGCACAATAAACATTCCTATTCTCAGTATAGATAAAAAAATTAGAAAATCTTATCCAAAAGATTTAGGTATAATATCAAGAACTATAGGGTGTGCTTTCCAACTGCCAGCCAGAACACCTTAACAATTTTTTTTTGAAGATTTATTTCTTTATTTGAAAGTCAGAGTTACACACAGAGAGAAGGAGAGGCAGAGAGAAAGAGAGAGAGGTCTTCCATCCACTGGTTCACTCCCCAGTTGGCTGCAACAGCTGGAGCTGCGTCGATCTGAAGCCAGAACCCTGGAGCTTCTTCCAGGTCTCCCACGTGGGTGCAGAGGCCCAAGGACTTGGGCCATTTTCTACTGCTTTCCCAGGCCATAGCAGAGAGCTGGATCGGAAATGGAGCAGCTGGGACTCGAACCAGTGCCCATATGGGATGCTGGCACTGCAGGCGGTGGTTTGACCTGCTAAGCCACAGCACTGGCCCCTCACCAATTTTAGATCCAGAATGTTCAATTCATACTCTAGGCAACTTTGAGTTTTTATTTGTTTATTTTTTTTAAAGATTTTATTTGTTTACTTGAAAGAGTTAGGTGGAGGTAGAGGGGGTGCTTCCATCCATTGGTTCACTCCCCAGATAGTCTCAAAGGCCAGAGCTGCACCTATCCAAAGCCAGGAGCCAGAAGCTTCCTCGGGTTCTCGCACGTGGGTGCAGGGGCTCAAGGACTTTGGCCATCTTCTGCTGCCTTCCCAGGCGATAGCAGAGAGTTGGATTGGAAGTGGAGTAGCCGGGACTCAAACTGGCACCCATATGGGATGCTTGCACTGCAGGTAGAGGCTTTACCTGTTACACCACAGTGCTGGCCCCTGTCATTTCTTATGTATATCTTTATGGTGTATGCCTTCTGAGTCCATCCTCTGTGTTAGGCCCTGTATTGGACATTTCACATAGAGTCTCATTAATTTCTGTACTTAAAGCAACTGTATAATGAAGACATTAATTCTGTTATATAGAAATGCAGCTTATGGGCAAAGAAGTTAAATAACTTGCTGTGGAATACTGATAAGTGACAGAATTGGGTTTTGCATCTGGTCCTTCTGACATGAAGGACTCTCTTGTTTTTTAACTATTCAATGTTTCTCAATATTCTTTAATTCTGTTAAAGTGAAAGAAGAACATAGACAACTTCAGGAGTCTTGGGGTGTTGAGGTATAAAGTAGAACTAGTCAGAGAGAGAGAGTGGGTAGCTTGAGATGGGTTAAAGACTATTGTTTTATTTTAAAAATAAATGCTGGGGTCATACTATGGTATGGCAGGTTAAGTTGCTTGCAATACATCCTAGTGTGGGTTCAAGTTCCAGCCGTTCTGCTTCCAGTGCAGCTCATTGCTAATGCACCTGCGAAAACAGTGGAGAATGTCCCAAGTACTTGGACCCCTGCCACCCACGTGGCAGACCTGTTGAAGCTCCTGGCTTTGGCCTGGCCCAGCCTGGGATGTTGTGACCATTTGGGAAGTGAACCAGGATGTGGAAGATCTCTGTTTCTCTTTCTGTGTTGTTTTGTCTTTCAAATAAATAAGTAAATCTTATAAAAAATGCTTTACAATTTTAAAATTAATTAATTTCATAGAGAGATAAAGATAGAACGAGCTCTCACCTATTGGTTCACTCCCCAAATTCCAAGAACTGGAAGGCAATCCAGGTCTCCCAAGTGGGTGACAAGAACTCAATTATTTTAGTTATTGCTGCCTCCCAGGGTATGCATTTGCAGGAAGCTGGAGTCCGGAGCTGAAATTGGGAATTGAACCCACTTACTCCAGTGTGAGACTGAATACCTGGTTTCTAAATGCTTTTTTGGATTATGTTTTATTTTATATTCTGCATTTGTTTGTGTGTAAGTTTTGCCCCTTAAATTACCAAATAAAATTTGATGTTTTACAATAATCCTGAAACCAGTGGGCTCATTTTGGCCTGCAAGATGGATTAGTCTCATACAGGTGACAAAATATGAGGGTACTTCAGAAAGTTTGTTCAAAAATGGAATTAAGATAGGTTTATTTGGGTGCAAATTTTGAAATTGTTCATGTGAAGGAGATGCAAAAAAATCATGAAAAAATACATTTTACGAAAAAATTATGTGTATCTTTCAAAGTTACTATTGTACCACAGTAAACTTAATTTTTTTAAAGTGTTTATTTATTTATTTGAAAGAATAACAGAGAGAGAGGGAGAGACACAAAGAGATCTATGTGCTGGTTTACTCCCAGGTGATCACAGTGGCCAGCATTGCACCAGGCTGAAGCTGAGAGCCAGGAGCTTCATCCAGGTCTTGTATTTGGGTGACAGGGGCCCAAACAGTTGGGCCATCTTCCGCTGCTTTTCCCAGGCCATTAGCTGGGAGCTGGATTGGAAGTGGAGCAGTTGGGACATGAACTGGCACCCATACAGGATGCTGGTGTCACAGGAGGAGGCTTTACTCAACCACAATGCCAGCCCTAAACTATATCCTTTAATTCCATTTTCCATGAAGTTTTTGAAGTACCCTCGTATATTTCAGTTAGTTGACAGAATTTAGAAATGAAGAAATTTCTCATAAAACCTGGATTTCCGCCTTCTTACATTACTAGTCCTCATTGGCTGGAGCTGTGAATGGCAACCAGCCTCTTAGATGGCGTGTGAGTGCTGTGTTTTGCCAGAGTCCCTACAAACTCACTATTATATTTGCAAACTGAGTCCAGGCTCTCTTCTATCATTTATCTTAGTGCTTGTGCTTTTGTTCTTAGACTCAGCTGCTTTACTCACCTATGTTTTCTTTGCTTCTGTAGTCAAAGTTTTGGTACCTCTTTAGAAACATGTGCCAGGCTTATCTATGTTTTTGTGGCTCAGTGTCCTCAATGAACTAGGAGGGACAGGAAGAATGCATACCCCTCATTATGAGTAAAACAATGCTGTTTGAGACATTCCATGCTACTTTTCCTTTTTGGCATCAGTATTTTCCTTTCTCTGAAAGCACATTGAATGCCTTTGTTCATTGAACATTCAGGCGCTGTGACATGTGCTTTAGAGGGACTTTGCCATCAGCCAGTGCTGCGGCTCACTTGGCTAATCCTCTGCCTGCGACGCCAGCACACCAGGTTCTAGTCCCGGTTGGGGTGCCAGTTCTGTCCCGGTTGCTCCTCTTCCAGTCCAGCTCTCTGCTGTGGCCCGGGAAGGCAGTGGAGGATGGCCCAAGTGCTTGGGCCCTGCACCTGCATGGGAGGCCAGGAAGAAACACCTGGCTCCTGGCTTCGGATTGGCACAGTGTGCCAACTGTAGCGGCCATTTGGGGAGTAAACCAATGGAAGGAAGACCTTTCTCTCTGTTTCTCTCTCTCACTGTCTAACTCTGCCTGTCAAAATAAATAAATAAAAAATAAAAGGGCTTTGCCATCATGGAGCTTCCAGTTTAATAGAGGAGATGGCTATTAATCAAGTCATTATATCAGTAGCTATTTAATTACAATTGTGATCATTACATAGAGGAGAATAAAATATATGTAGTCTAATCTGGGAGATAAGATAATGCTTCTTTGAGGAAGGAGTCTGAACAACATGTATAAATTTACTAGGCATAGTTGAAGTGCTGCAAGGAGCATGCACTTTGAGAGGAGGAGCTTTTTAGATAGTTTCATGTGTGAAGACTTCTCAACTGGAAATAATTTGGGGTTGATTCTGAAAAAATGGAAGCTCTAGAATATATACACACACACTTTATTATTATAAAAATTAATTTAGCTGAAAGGCAGAGTTAGAGGGAAACACACACACACACACACACACACACACAGATCTTCTATCTGCTAGTTCACTCCCCAAATGGCCACAACAACCCAGGCTGGGCCAGGACAAAGTCAGTTTCCTGGAACTCTGTCTGGGTCTCCCATGTGGATGCATGGACTCAAGGACCTGGTCTACCTTCTGCTGCTTTCCCAGGCACATTAGCAGAGATCTGGATTGGAAGCAGATCAGCCAGGACTCAAACCAGTGCTCTGCTCTATTGCACCACAGCACTGGTCCCAGTACACATACACACACACACACACACACACACATACATATATATATATATAACTTTATGTTATCTGTGTTTATTAATGCAGTATTTTGGGAAAAAAACCTGCATGGGAGAACTTTCTTACTATGTTATAAAATTTTAAAAAATCATACTGTTTTATCTGTTGTCCTGTTGATGTAAGCTGATGGTCCTAAATGTAGAGTGTTCTAAAATATAATACTGAAGAAATGTAGATACTTTTGTTTTTTCGTCATACATTTTAAAAATTAAGATAATAGTAGATTCACATGCTGTCATAAGAAATAATACAGAGTGTTAAACGCTTGTACACTTTGTTAGGTTTCCCCCGTGGTGATGTTTTGCAAAGCTATCGTATCCCAGCAAGGATATTGATATTGATAAAAATCACCAAATTTATTCAGATTTTGTTTTACTTGTACTTGTGTATATATGTGTAGTTTTATATAGTTTGTTACTGGCGTAGGTTTGTCGTTCTGTCTCTACATTCAAGATACTGAACAGTTAAAATATCACAGTGTTACCCCTGTATAGCCGTATCTACCTTCCCTCTTCTACACCTGAACCCCTTGGGCAACCACTAATCCATTCTCCATTTGTAGAATTTGCTCATTTGAAAATGTTACATAAATGATATATATGGATTTTTTTCAGTAAAAATAACTCTCAGGAGATCCATCCAAGTTTTGGTGTGTTTCAATAGTTACTTCTTGTTGACTAGTCTTCAAT